TGGGCTAGTGACCGACGTAATGATGACTTGGAGAGTGTACTCCATAGACAGTGCATAGTGCACGCGCCACGTGGCCGGCAGCCACACCACGCACGACGCACCAGCCTTTGTGTCGTACTCGTCGCGTTTGTAAACATTCAGGCCGACCAGTAAACATCTTTGTGAGCGGCTTGATTGTGCCACCGCACGCGCAGATTTTAATAAACATAATAATCGTGCTGAATCATTAATCATCCCATCCCACTTTAATATTCTGAAGAGGAATTAATAAAAACCCATTGCCCCATTTCCTAGCGGCGGTTTACGCTATTGAATTATTAATTGAACTCAGACGGCGACGGTAAAATCGAAGATTATGTATGAACTACACTATACACGCATGTTTTGTCAACGAGTTGTTTAATGTTTACTGCTGATAATTTTACGTATTCACTCGTAGCTGAATACTTTGAGTTTAATTTAATCGCGTAATTAATTTAATAAACATAAACTTTACAGATAAATTACGAATTATTAACAACAAACCACAAACAGCGGGTTACTGTATTGCGTATTAACAATATTGTTGGATTACACGACTGACCTTTCATGTTGAAAACAAAATATACGAAAACCGCACGGTGGGCCGATTTGAGCAAACCCGTAGAGCACTGGACGGTCAACCGAAAATTAATTAACATACTTTGGCGCGCAACCCTCGACCGTTGCGCGAGCGGTACGCTCACAGGTGGCCGGGCCCCACCCCCATCGCACACCCCAACAACTAGGGCTACCACCTTTGTAAACGTTTTTTGTTCCCATAACGATTCATGATTCTTTTTTATTATTTTCCGCGCGCCCGAATACTAAAACGAGATAAAACGATGTTAACTACGGATTTACTGAACTCCGGGAATGTAGTTCCGGTGATACGAGTTTTTGATTTACTAGTTTTATTAGACAGACTACCTATGCTCATATTATATCACTCAGATCATAATTGAATATAACTCTATGTTCATGTTCACACTAAAAACATCCACGACTTGTTACTGAAATGGAAAGTTTCACTCAAAAACACATAGACAGCCCTGAAAGAGTTATTCTGATGCTGAAAACATATCTGTACATTTGTAAAACCAGTTGTATGAAGTTAATTTGATGTCCAATTGCTGTTACACTAGTCAAACGAAATAACTGATATAACCAAAACATAAATGAGACACAACATATTTTAAACCTAATTGTTTATAGTTATAGAGTACAGTTTCAAATTCCGTCTTTTTGCGTTAAGGGCATGCTGCTGCATGCCCTTAACGCGTTAACATGTTCATCAACAGAGTGTACTTGCTTCATAAAGTGCAATTTGGTTTCTTGCTTTTAGAACCGTTATTAAACTGTCAAACACCAAGCGGTCACCGGTGACCGCAACCTATTGTACTATAATTGTGTCTACAAAACCGGTACTCGACGAGTTAATCTTAACAAATGCCTATAAGTTTTTCATCTTTTTCCGTAGATTTTCCCATTTTAATTGGAAACCTCTTTGCATATTCATATAAGGAAGCAAAAGGTTTTTATTGTTTTTCGTTATTATGAAGTAATAAAGTAGGCACTTTTACAATAATTTCTCAACATCACATTTCCTCCAATTGTTTTGTACACTCACTCTGCCTACTATTCATAAAACGAATTAATTCACTCTAAAAAATATTTTTCATTATTTCCTTTTACACGTAACGTTATTGTTTTAGCTTTTAATAAACAACAATTAATGAAAATATGTTTAAAATGGTGAATGCGATTGTATAATTGGATAATAGGCAAACGTTAGTACAAAAAAATACTTTCTGCCATAAAACAGAGGTGCTTTTATAGATTTTAAAAGGCACACGCGATGTAGAAGGGTCATACAGCATTAAATTACCAGAATTATTCCATTGTTGATGTTAAATGCATTCCGGTTTCTGGAATCGCGTGCAACATATACAACTATTGTATATTTATATAAGCCTAGCATATAAGGCCAGTGTCCATTCCATTTGTTTATATTTTTATTATAATGTACAATGTACATATCAAGTGATATTTACTCGATACACTGAGATTGGTATCTGAAAGTAACTATGTAGGTACTGTAGAGTTATGAAAGCAATAAATTGAACACTGAATTAAAAAAAAGCCGCTGAATGACATTCACAATTCACATTCAATGCCAATATCAGCTTTCAACGAATATTTGAAAGTACGTACATATTTATTCTAACAAAATAATTTATTTATTCAGTACATAAGGTAAGTGGTAGTAAGTAAAGCGGTTGATAAAACTATGTATAAACATCTGCTTTACAAAGGTTTCTGTGTGCGTAGCTACTATGGACGCCAGTGTCCCAACACTTGTCTTTACCTCGAAGTGACTAATATTACGTACATACGTAAGTACGCGTACTTTGTGGGCATTGTCTATAAATACAGCGTGTGCCTTTTGTGCCGCCCACTCTCAACTATATGTTATACATGTTCTGGAGAGTTTACCCTACTTCTGATCTTGATACATCGTCTTATTCCATGAACCCACGATTATACTCCTTGCTGTTTTCGTCTCTATGCAAATCCATTAACTATTTATTCACACAGATACTTTTCTATTTGTACAATAGAGATATATTTATTATTAGCTCCCGCATTCATGTCATAACAATGAAGAATACTTTGAGTTCATATAAATAAAATCACAAACAGTGCTAATATTGCACAAGAGTATAAATCGCATGCATGAAATAAATAGGTCCCGTTTAAATGTGATCAAGAGCCGACCCCAGCGCGGCGTAGCGAGGGTCCCACTTATTGCGAGCACTTGTCATATCAGCACAATGAACAACCATGCTTTATTATTTTAATTATTGCACGTCCACGATGCGCCCTTTGTCAGCCAACCGCGAGCGCTGCTTGAATTAGTCACTGCTGAATAATAATTGCCCTAATTGAAGATCCTTGATACAACTAGTCGAGTTGTCTCTCTACTTAGGTAAGTAGGACTATATTTAAAATTGATACTGTTCGCTCGACTACGGAAATATACCCGTAGTATAGTGATAAAGTAAAGATAAAAAAAAATATCTACCTACTCGTTAGTCATCATGCCGTTTGTGTACAAGTAAGCTCTTTATTATACGATTGATCAAAATTGCTCTCAGTAGTTCTGGATCATAAAGAGGTCAATTTCTCATTTATAAAGACGATTTCTCAATATGTAAGCATGCGACGGAGACAATGCGAATTTGTTGCGACAATGTGGGGCGTATTGACATTACAATATACTAAGTTGCAAGTTTTTGCCTTTGTACCGATGTCATTATTATTGGGAAATGACAGCTTACAAGCATAAATTAATTAAACCCATCGACCTAGTTGTTATGTTCTTGAGAAGTGATCAATAACGCAAGGGAAATAAAATGTTGACATTATAAATTTTTCGATGTAAATATAGTATCCGGAATGTAGGTAGGTACCTAAAGATAGGATTTATAAAGTAACGAGGAGGACAGCTCGTCGCGAAGGCAGGCGGGCGCATACTTTACTCTCTCGACTCCCGATCCGATCTTCATAAAGAAATTCTCCGTTTTGATATTATATTTATATTGTAAATGTTTCGTACCTGCATATTTGTAACAGTAAATATGAAAATTTCCGGAATGCCTACGAGCTCGCCTCCCGATCTTGAGGGAACAAAGATTTTATTTGGTATTATGAAAATTTGAACTGTGTATTCCTCGGCTTCATTTGCCAGTTTTATTTTAACTTAACGTAGGTTACATAAATGTTTAGAAATTGCTCGTTCATTTTGGCGTAAAACAATGTCGCTATTCGCTGCATTATTAATTAATGTAAATGAGTCGACATTTAAATGTTGGTTAGATTAATGTGGAGAAATCAGTTTGAAATATTGGCACATCAAATGTATAAACTGCTCCTAATGCTAGATGAGACATCAGTCCTAATAACTTGACGTCAATTCGCAAAAGCTTTTTGTTTGTAATGCCTTAAAAATAGTAACGAAGTAACCGCGGCTTTGCTCGATGTATTATCGTATCGGCCACAATACGATTGGAAGTTTACAAGACGAGCATCCGACACGGTAAACAAACAAGCGCTCTGACGTCAGACGCACTCGACTCGAGACTCGCGGCCGCGGCTACTGCCACTAGACATATCCATTCATTACTACTCAATATGATTTTCATAAAGTTTAAAAATACATTCTTCTTTGTTTACACTCCTTGAACAGATCCTAAAATATATCATCGTCTCGTTTCTTATTTCTCAACTACAACAATACATTGACTATTAGGTACAATACGTTGATAAACTACTTCTAACCTACTTCTAGATTTTTCGATTTCCATTAGAACATTTCCTTTCGTTTTCACTATTAGAAAATAATTTCTTATTATGACAATTAATTGAGAATAATTTATTGTTTTTCACTGGATAAGTGTTTTTTCATATAAATGTTTTTCCATAAAGATGAAAGGCGATGGAGTCAATGTAAAAAGGATAATCAATTTCAATCAGACCTACAAACATAATTTGTTACCTTTCTTGCGTATCCACGTTTATGATGCGTCATACAATTCACGGTCACACACATTATATTATCTACACACCAGAATTACAGCACGATACTGATCGTTACGTAATCATACGTCGAAAACTTTTCATTATTACGGCAAATAAATGCTTTTTATGAATTCCTTTCAGAGATAAGCTAAACTGAAGTTAGAATATTGAGAGCTATCTTACCAATGATGATACAAAATCTTCGTAGTACCCTGTAAACTAAATAATATATGACGTAATAAGATGATTTTCCTTTTTTACTTCACTGCTTATTACAATGACTTTTACTGTTTAATTTTCAAGTAGGTATGACCTCCATCAATCGTAGACTTTTCTCAAATATGTAATAAGTTCGGTTTGAAATTTTCAATCTGATTAACCTTTGCTTTTTTCTGTTTCAGCGAGCGGCGCGCTCGCAGCCGGCACCATTGCGTCCCCCTGGAGCACGGCGGCCGGCGCGCCCGACACCAATGGCTCGGGCGGCGCCGACGCTAAGCACCTGGACGTCGGCGATGCCAGCGACGATGAAAAGGTAAATATGTCACATACTCAACAAAATAGAGATCTAATTAGCTGTTTAAACTCAAGGTCCAAGTAAGCAGAAGTTATCTTTCTCTCTCATAAACAACGATAAAAAATAGGAAGTTTGTCTCATGTAGCCACGTGGTCTGTCGTGGTAGATCCTCAGTATTTTTATCACCTGCTCCTGAAGTTTCCCTTGACAACATAAATTGATAAACTATCTAGTTTTTGATCTGTTTAAATATAATAAGTGTGACTGAATTCTAATGTCCATTTTCAACGCCTCAATTTGTTCCGTTTCAATGAGACCATTCGCAGTAACCAGCATTAACTTTATAGCTAATCTATTACTGACTCCCGCTAAAGTTTTATTACTTATTCCATTTTCGGGATACTACCACGTGGTGAAGTGTAAACTGCTTCAGTAAGTTACCCATTAATTTAATGATCATTGCTGGTCACTCGCCAACCGAGGCGTGGAACACGTGTCAATTTTAACGGCTCGTAAATATTAGCTCATATTTACACCGATCTTCACCTTACGAAGGGTTCCCACGAGTCTCTTCAGCTCTGTATGGCCAGACTGCAACATTTTAGCAGCGAGATGACTTCATTTCTGAAGCTTATCTACAAAACTTAGTTCTATTTGTAGATATTTAGTTATTTAGTTCTATTTGTTGTTCTATCAGCTTAATTATTCATTTTCTTCTTTGTTCCATAAACCAGTCTCCATAAACGAAGCAGTGAACTCACATACTGCCGATTTATTGCTCGGTTATTAGTAAATCTTAGTTCACTTTTGTAAGTCATGAGGTAGGAGCTTTGTTTGTAGAAGTAATCGTGGACTCCGGATTAGAAGAGGGTACTTAAGCGTGCATGTTTGTGTAAACATAAGTGCACACGGGTGCAATTTGCGCAGCACGGAAAGTGTGCAGCATAGTTCAGTCACACGCATTTACGATTGCAGGTCGCATAAGGGTAACTTTACTACCCATTATCATAACGTGTAAACTGATATACAAAGTGAATATCGTGTTCGTAGATTCATTCAAGATTTCATTATAGCCAAACATTTCGCCTGACTCATCCGCGTGAGATAGGCCAAGAAATGTTAAATCTAAAAAAGTTTCCTGTGAATTCAACCGGTTTTTCTGCCTTCGCAACATTATCAGTGATATTTATTTAACTATCAATCACATCGAACAAATCACTAATAGATATAAAGATCACACGGTTGATTGATAACGAAATAAATTTAAACCTGTAACAAAAACAATTAGTAAGACGCGGTTGTGAGAAATTGCAAGTAAATATTGACTGTTAGTAGTTAACAAATCCAGAAACAGCTACGTTTCAAGTAGTTTCAAAGAACAGTGATTCACGATGTTTTCGATCCGGCCTGTTGGACCAAGTCGAGGGCAACGCGTTATTTTTATTTTCTTTTGAGAATAGAAGCTAGTCTATTAATTACAATGACGCACTCCACGACTTGTAACAGTCTGTAAGCAAACTCTTTACAAATGTTAATAATAAGTACATCTGTTCAGTGTTCCTACTTAGTTTCAATGTTATAAGGCTTCTTGAATTAATTTCGTTTTCTCTGAAAGTGGACTAGGCTAACATAGAAACGATTTATCTTCGAAACGTATTTAGTTCTTAAGATTAATGATGGTATCGTAAGATTCGATTCATTGGGGCGTAACAAGCTTTCGATACAGTTAAAGCTACTAAGTGTCTTCAGGAAATAGGGAACGCGATATCTGACGCTGCTGTTTTGTTGGCATGAATTGAAAGTGACAAAACCGTCTACCGCTATAAATAATTACAAATATCTGGAAGTATATAGTGTCTCACAAATCACATACGTATGGGAGACGCGTATGGTTCACAATATTCATAATTATTTCGCACTAAAGCTGAAGTTGCACTTACTAACTTTTAGAGCGCGTGAATTTGCTGGGAACAGCTCCATTTAGAACATTGGGGTTTTCGCGGAACGGGATTGTTCTCTAACTTTGTAGATATGACGTAATTTTCCTATTGGCGTCTTTATTTTAAACTTTTCTATTTATCAGTCCTTTAGTATACAGAAAGAAAGCATGTTTTTTCTTTAGGCTTATGTTTTCTTTTGCCAAGGTAACGTTTTCAAAACATTCGTGTCCTGGGTAAGGTGTCAGCTTTGACGTCAAATTTACCTAGAGTGGGAAAATTTATATCGATTCTATATTGTTTCGATATTAAATAAGTGGTGTTTATATAACAAAGCGCGTTCGCAGGATATGTCCGCGGCCGATGCGGAGGGAGTATGGAGTCCAGACATTGAGCAGAGCTTCCAAGAGGCCCTGGCCATCTACCCGCCGTGCGGCAGGCGCAAAATTATTCTCTCCGACGAGGGCAAGATGTACGGTGAGTCCAAACATGCTAGAAGTCTTTGTAGGCACTAGCGTAAACATTCGTTTTTATTATCATTGGATTGGATAAACAAAAATAATCACTTTCATTTAATACAAGTTTACAAACGACTGCTTACTTACAACTGAGTTCAGCTTGACTTAAATATTAGACCAAACATATCGATTATTTTGTTTAATAACGGACGCGAACACATCGATTTACCTATATGTCACTTAAGTTAAATAATGGAGAGATATCAAGGCCACTGTGCCGAAAATGAACAATGGCAGTAGCACGAGACAAAAGCCAGTGTAGGACCTATTGAAGTCGGCCGACAAAAGCCGTTTGCGCAATAGGATTCCGCGGAAAGACGTGAACCGACAATTATTATCTCTCTCGATCGGACCATGTCGCCAATTCGAAGAACCCATGTGTTGTCTCGTGGCTTTGTTCAGAATTCACGTGTATAAATACTTGCGTACACGAACGGTAATTAGTGAACTATGAAAGCTATGCCCCATTTATTATCGCCACAAAAATATTTCCAAATTAACCCCCAATTTGTTCTCAATAAGCCCCGATTATTAAAATGAAAGCTCTGTTCATGAAAGGGAGGCGGGAGCAAATTTTTTCACGTTACATTGTTAACTTAGAAAGCTCGTTAACGCGAACGTGACGATTGCTACATAAAAACAACGCTTTACCTCCAGTAAATTAACTGCCGAAGGAAACGGTTTGTGTTGCTTTAGTATTTTATAGTTAGGCGTAAAGTCTTCTTCTGCGAGCCTTTGTAGTGTCCGGTTGAACTCAAATACTATGAAGAAATAATGGCTTGAATAAAATAATTTACAAAGTCTGTTATTTGTAAGCCCTACATGCTTAACCCGGGGAGAATAGTTCCATAATCTTTTCGGAAAAGTAATATTACGGGTGCTATGGAGCAGAATTGACATAGGACAATTATCAGAGGGTGGTAGTGCCATTACATCGCCGCCGGACGCACATTAAGTTTGCGTCAAGCGCCCAACATTATACGTCCCGGTTTTAATTAAAGGACTGCCCGCTCAGCCTCGTCGCGGTGCCAAATGGAATTGCTAAACAAATTTACCACAGGCGATGTGTCCACCTTAAGTGATTTAATAGGCGTAAAGAAATGCGATGTTTAAATTACTTCAAATCTTACGGTTCACACTGCGGAAGGGGAGATTAGGGGAAATACCATGCCCTACATCTACTTTTGTCGTTTTGTCTTTTCTAAGACTTTGATGTAGGAATTCAGGTTCATATTTTTTGTGTCACAATAATTCCTGCTCAGTAACAAATGTCACCACATAATCAACAATGAAACTACTTACTATAAAATAAAAAATCCTGAAATTTATTCTCAGAAGTTTCCCACTAGTGATATGGAGTCTCTATTTGTAAACAAGTATGTCTAAGTGTTATTACTCGTGCAAAAGATGTTGGTAATGGTTATCTGTGTGGATAATAATTGCGGACACGCGTCGCGTCGCCCGGACAATATATGACCACATTACTCGAGGACGTGTCCTCCCGCTTAATCTACGTAAAAGTGCGTCACCCTTGTCCGTCGTACCGTCGTCCCACCCTCTCCCTTACCGTGACGTTCCATGGGACACTGTTTTGCTTGATCGTCATGTGCTGCAATAATCCGACATTCTCTGAGGGACATATTATTGTGTGTTTATTAAAACTGTAATGGGATTTTTCTAACTTAACTCTGATCTTTTCAAAGTTTCTATTGAAACTAAATTAACATAACAATCAACAATCATATTATATAAGTAAACATGATATCTATTTTTTTTTAGATCTGTAGCGTTTTATTTTTACTGAAGTTTTTATTTATTCTTCCGTAACCAAATAAAAGTTGTACAAGTAGGTAGGAGTAGGAAAACAAACCTCAAGAAACTTTATCTAAAAGTTGACAAGCGAAGTCAAGTGTCGATAAAAGTTATGTTGTGAGCTATACCCAGTTCTTAATGTTTATATGAAATAATTAGTTATCCTTGAAGCGTTGAGCCCTCGGCAGTAGTGAACTATCAGGATCCGTTATTACATTAGTGAATTGAGTTCGGCATGTCATAGTTGCACGTGTGGGACGGCTTAGATCGGCGCACTCGGCAGTCTTGAAGACTGTAGTTTGGAACAGTTTGCCAACAAAGCTAGTGTTCAGCTTTGCTGGCGGCACGTTCGTGAGTTAAGACATTCAAAACCGCTCAATATCCTGGGAGTATGAAAGTTTCGTCGGCGCACGGCTTCACGTGGTCCGGGGGTGGCAGGCGAGGGGTTCGTCGGGAGGGCTAAACTATGCGAAGAATGCGCAATTAGTGAGCGAGCGAGCGTGTAAGGGGCCCGGCCGCGCCGCTAGGCGGCGAACGCAGTAAGAAAATATAAAGAAGGGGCGGGCCGCCCGCGCCCGTTGTTTAGCGCCCCGCCCGCTTCGGGCATAACTCCCGATTGTCTCCCAAGAAATCCTCCTTAGACCTGTCGCAACTCAACCCTTTCCGCGAGGATTTGCTCCGCATAGCTCCTGTTTGGGTCAGCGTGAAATTCTGCTACGACGCCCGTGTAACTCGACAAAGTCCAATATCTTTCGCAGAACCTTTGTCATTCAAGGGTCCTCATTTTTGACGAACTGCCCTTGTTACTTACATGTATTACTCCACCTTGTTTCCAAATCATTATAATATAGGTACTCTGTTTCCTATTAACACGTTCCCGGCACCCTAATTATTTTCTTAGATAATATCTACTAAGGTGGGGTAGTGGTTTATAATTAGTTTAAATCACACTCCAAATGGGCCTAAAATATTCCGTTTTGAAGTAAAATTGTAGGCCTATTACATAAATTTAATACTGGTTATTATGGTGTGGATAATTGGCCTTAAATGCGTTAATGAAATATAGTTTTGAACGCTTATTAATTATACCTACTCCGTACTCGTACATTAAAACTGCTTTTTGATCAGCAACAAATAATACGAACATTAATTTGTTGTTTATTCTATTGTAAGCACCAATAGGTATTCACTGAGTAGATCTCCGACTAATATTATTGAGGGGGATATATTTTGTGGGCAAAAGCTCAATATAAGCAAAAACAATCGCGAAGTCATGCCTCAGGTACGACGTTAATGTATTTCTGATGGATCTCCAATATCTCCCCAGTTGTCGAATAAATTACTTTTCAAAACGCTCCGCTGTGAGTAGAGGTTCGAGAATAATAAAATAATACTTAATCCACGTTTAATTTGGTAAACCTATTCCAAATAATGGTGAAACGTGTGTATAAACAAAGCAATGAGAACGAATGTGCGATGGTAACAACAAATACCTGTTCAAAAAGAAAATAGTAAATATTCATAATGTAGCTGGAGCGTGCACGCACAATTTCCTCGCGGAGTGCGCGAGAGCGTAGCCGCGTCGCGCTGGCAATGGACCAAATTAGCCAACTAACGAACTAATAAATAATGATCTCTTGTTTTTCTATTCACTGTGGAATAGAAACGTTTCGACTTGATCCTTCTCTGCACCGCACTATTTATAGAAGGATGCACACGACGTTTCGGGTGAAAGCACTCTTAATGCTCAATTCGCGGGCGCGTATGTCACAACTGGAAGTTACGCTCACAACGAATAACATACGACGTGTATATTCACTTTACTAATTCGTGCTAACAGCAATTTGTTAGAGTGGCCGCACTTACTAATTTTAGCTTAACACCCGCCGTGAAAAGTTTACGACGGTGCCATAATTTCGAAGTAATTTCAAGAATGTTTGACTTAACAGTTTTGAAGAGTTTCCTTCCAAAGATCTGAGCTTTCATTCTAGTTTAATATAAAAATAACTGATATTGCGTTAATCTTGTAGCGGGGGCCGAGTTCTAGCGTGATATTTAAAGCGCAATGCAGAATATTATTATGGAGGTTGTTATTGGTAGGTAGTAATAGACGTAGGATATAATACACCGTTTTTATTGAGACATAATTCTGTCATAGAAATGACATGGAACTGAACTTAATGTGTTTTACAATTGTAGAAAGCATTTTCAATTGCACTAAAACGCTTTTGCCGGTCTTTTGTGTGCCGATTGACGGACCGAATAGTACTGTTAATCAATAGATACAAATAGTGTAGTACGTATATACGTTATACGTATACATTCGCCTCAACGAGCAAGCAAGGGGTTAATTAAATTCGCACCAGCCGCCTCTCGTCGCCATCGCATTCCCCGAATTCAATGAGATTTCAATTTACTTTGCTCTGACCGGGTCTTCCTCTATCGTGTCCATCAATTAATACACGATATATATTAAAATTTCGTCACCAAGTTATGTCTGGCTTTAATTGAGTTTGATCGTTCATTTTATGAGTAGACATTTGCCTTTCTAGCTTTTATGACTTAAGTTACAATCTAAAGTTAACCCGTAATTAAATACGTGTTTTGCAAAAGCTATTACACGTTTGTTTTTCTGCTAATTCTGTTTACGGTTAAAGTAATAAAATGTACCTATGCCTTTCACGACAGCTAGCGACTAGCGACTAGCTCGTGAGTCAAGAAGTTAAAAGTTGTTATTGGGATGTAAACGTAAACAAATGAGGCACTCATAATACCCGTTGTTCTGCCTTAACCCTATTTAGAACAGATTTTAATCCAACCCTTTTTTTCTAATACGTAAAATTAAGTACTACCTTATTACCAAAACAATAATTTAAATAAAGGTTGCAATATTCATTAAACGAAACACTAACCATTTTGTATAAAAACAAAAAGAATATTTAAAATATTTATCGACAACAATATTCAATGTAAACCAACTGAAAATTATTTCACAATACCAGTTTGCACTGACTACGGACGATCCACCCCGCATTCCTGTTCAACTGCAGTTTCAATGATTGAAAATAGCTATTCAAAATATTTTGAAAATTGTTTCATAACAGGATCGGCAGTGCTGCCTGCATTGCATTCTACGCGTTTGTCTGTTACAGCTATGCTAAATATTCCGCGGCCAATTGGCACATGTTTTAACCCCTTTATTACTTAAATTGAAATACCCAACTGAACACTGTTATTATTATAAAAGCCGAAGTTTGGATATTCGCAAGTCCATCACGCCGTATATAACTGGTTGAAAGAATTCGTTTGTTGTTTCAGTTTAGGGTTTTTGATTTTGGGAAAAGATTATTTGATGGTCCTAGGTTGGTATAAAGTTTGAATGATTGAAATCTGTTTTTATGGGAATCTCAGATGGTGTGGAAATCGAGACAGAGTTGAAATAGTCTACCATAGGGATGGACAAACCAGAACCTAAATGATATTAAAGATTTCATATTTTCTAGTGTGCTTGAATTAAGGACTTGAACTTATAAACCATTCCCACGCTTTTGAGGACAGGCGATATACCTCGTTAAGAATCTGTAGTGACTCTATTAGCACGGATTCAAACGTGCTCGTATCTGTCAAAGGTAGCCCATAAAGCCAGATACAAACCTGATACTGGGACTAGGAGCATATAATTGAATATCACTTATCTGTAATTATAAACCTATCAACTAATCAAGATTTTAATTCAATTACAGGAAGAAACGAGCTGATAGCAAGGTATATAAAATTGAGGACAGGAAAAACGCGCACGAGAAAACAAGTGTCATCCCACATACAGGTGCTAGCTAGGCGGAAACTTCGAGAAATACAGGCCAAACTCAAAGTGGTAAGTGTATTAAGATATGTCAGTATTTATGTCTCAACAACCAGTATCAATTAGCATTGTTGTACTACATCTTTTCAAATAATTCGAAGATAAAATTAATTAAGAAGTTCGTGCCAAAACATAAGAAAGCTAAATACAGTGTTATAAAATATAGATATGAATGACGTTTAGGATGGTGGGGTGATGAAAGAAAAGGCCATGCAGTCAATGAGCACACTATCTAGCGCACAGATCGTAGCTGGTTTACCGCACCCAGCGTACCACCATACGGTACTCAACTTGCAAAAGGCATGCCTTTGTGTTACTAGTAAAAAAAATAAAAACTAATTCGCCTTTTAAATTGTGTTGCTTCACTACTATTTAGGCATGTTGCCAAATTGCACGTATTAAGTAAAGAATAGGCGACAATAACACCAATCGAATACTGAAATTGCTTTACTCACATTTCTGTTTTACTATTCATATTACAAATAATCGACTGGTAAATGGAATCAACTAAAATTGTATTGAAAATTGGACTCAATAATATCGTTGTAAAGAGTCATTTTTTAATTAAAATTATTAGTCACTGTCAGGGCGTGCACTACATTGGAATAAAACATTCATATCTTCATGTTTTCACAAATCAAAATAATGCTTCAAGTGATGTGTGTAGAATAACAACTTGAGCATAAAATAACATGAAAGCTTATTGTCATTATTGTTAAAATAACGAAGTTATTAATTATTTGTTTTGTCATTACAGCAATTTTGGCAACCGGGTCTACAAGCCGGACCTTCACAAGAGTAAGTATTTTAATGTCAAGGAATATATTCTTTAATAATACGTTTTTGATCGTATTTCTGTGAAACGTTAAGTATTGTTACAAGTTAATTGTACTACAAAAACTACATTTACTTTATGTTACTAAATGAATGCGCTACCTTTACTTAAAGGAATGAACCTCGTTACCTTATGATCTGGTGACGAGATAATCGATATATTGACGTTCATAAAATTAACAAGTTCTTGAATCATAATATCTGTATTTTAGTCCAACTTCTCCTACCATAATTATGATCTTACAAAACGGACTCGAGTCTTTCAAAAGTTATCAAAACTTTAACTTGCATCTAATAGTTTTCAGTACACGTAATCAAGTAAGAAAGTTTTAAACTGGCTAACCAACATAACAAAAGTGGATAATATATGTAGCAAATTAAATGCTTAGTAGTTCTGATATGAAAATGTCAACTGATATTTTCTTGGTCGTACCACAAACGACTTACAAAACATATTTATGTCGGTGAACTCGACATAAGAAAATGTAGAAAGGGGAGAACTACTACCTACTTGATTTATCCTTACAACCCGACTCAAAGACATCATCACTTTGTTCCAGCGTAAAACCGTTCCCTGGTGCTGGTTACAAGGGTGTCCCAGGAGTAGGAGGAGTGGGAGTACCGAGTGGGACAGACGTTGCGCCGCCACCGCCGTGGGAGGGCCGCGCGATCGCCACGCATAAACTACGACTTGTAGAGTTTTCTGCCTTCGTTGAACACCCACGGGATCCAGAAACGGTAAGGCCTTGATGATATAGACAATATTATCTAAATATATTTTTGTTTAGAAACTGTCCTGAGAGACACAATCTGTTTGAGTAATGCTCGACTAGTTTCGAGCCGAAACGGGGCTCATAAAGTAGTTTGAGTGTAGTCAAATATCTTCCGATGCAACGTATACGAGACTAAACCCAATAGTTTAAATCACAATACCATCACAGTATATGCAATACAGGATGATATTTAATATGCATTTCTGAAGCTATGATTTACAAAATTTCCTCTGACGTTTTCTTGCCTTTTACCACCGAAAATCCCCTCACTCAAGGACAATAATTACGTTAAATTAATTTCACTTTATTTGCCTTTCGGTTTACTTTACCTTGTACCTTTTAAAACATTAAATAAATGTCTAAAGCATTAATAAATAGGTACATAACACAATACGACCAAAGGACCGTCAGCGTTCACTAATAAATTGAAAGTAACGCACCTTGAACTTTTGATATCATGAAATAATAAATTTAACTGTCTCGCTTTGACTGACATTACAACTTTATGTTTAAATAAATAATAGGTAGTTGAATTTATCTTGTAAAAAAACTAAGTAGGGTAATCGTTTAGTTGAATAAAATTATGTCAAGATTTTTATTGTGATTATTTAGGTACCGAGACACTTATTAAGTTGTAGTGCAATGCGTCTTTAATTTTGACTTGTACGGGAATAGAGTTGAATTTTTATCATTGTATGGGGTAGATATTCTTATGTAACTTATAAAATTCCTGTAAGTCGGTTATAACTGGAGAAACTAACCAGAGTAATGCATAAACACAAAAGACAACAAAGAAGAACAAAAAAGACAGAAAGCTTAAAGTTAATAGTATCTTTGAAGAAGAAAAAAAGACATAGTTTCTATCTACCTAATTCCCTCCATTTTTATCAGGAGACCAAAAAGTTTTTGATAGCACGAATAGACTACAACTTGGTAACCCTATTACCTAGAACCACCCCTAGTAAATAAGTTATCATTATGTGGCGACACATGGTACATTCTAACGGATGACGTCATAAAAATCCTACATCGCACATGCGAAGTTTACATTGGATTTAACACGGATAGAAAATCCCAACGAACAACTGTTGGGCAGAAAGCCCGCCAGGCACGATCACCTCGCCTGGTCGGAGGATCCTCCTTTTCCGATCTTAGGGAACTATACTCTCTGTTCCCTAAAATTATATTATCGAAGTCATATTCTCTTAGCTACAGTAGGTACTTACTACATTACTGTTACTTTTATCTCAAACAAAGTCAAAATCTGGCACTTTTGAACGTCAAACAATACATCAGACATCTTTTGATTGTCAACCTATTGTTTTTTTTTTCAGTACCCAAGTTCGGCGCCGGCGCAACATCTATTCGTACATATAGGTGGCACCGTTACGTACGCAGATCCTTTATTAGAGGTAAATATTTTGTTCTTGGAACCAGAAAAAAACTTTACTAAACATTTCCTGTGAGATAAAAATTCTTTAACTGTTTGTACCGAAAGTACTTAGAAAGCTATTTCAGAAATTGTGGTTTATCAAATAAGACCGCCATTATTATGCCATAGAACAATGATGACAGCGAAGTTAGTCCCGAATGCTGCAAAATGTGTCTCGATTGGGATATGGAATATCTATTTGTGTGATGTTAGCTGTTAATGAACGTAACCACGGGACTAGCGATAATTATAATGTGTTTAAGAACAATATTTATTATACATATTACGCATGGCAATCATCAAACGCATAAATGAAGTAATTTACTGGTTGCTTCCATTTTGAATACCTAGCGACATTTAAAGTGATCCACAACAAACTTTACATCGCGTAATAATTTCTATTCTTACCTTTTAAACCTTCAAGAACAAAATTAGCCAAATCGGTTCAGAGTTTTAACGAAACTAACGAACGGAAATTAATTTTTATTTATTTAGATTATCTAATTCTTTTATTTCTCTTTCCAGTCAGTCGACGTACAACAGATTAATGATAAGTTCCCAGAGAAGAAAGGAGGCCTCAAGGAGTTATATGAGAAAGGTCCACGGAATGCGTTCTTCCTCGTCAAATTCTGGGCAGACTTGAACACAAATAACCTGGACGATCCTGGAGCCTTTTACGGGGTCACTAGTGTGTAAGTATCTATGTAGTTCGCTACTCGGCTCCTGTTAACTGTAGAACCTATAGCCATTCTCGATAAATGGACTATCCAACACGAAAAGAATTATTGAATTCGAATCAGTATAGTTTCGGAGAATGTCGCATACAAACAATTTCATCAGCTTTATAATACTAAGTGTAGAATTTAATAATTCTAGAGGTAGTATTGGAATCTGAAATGGTATATTTAGTTACTGAGATATAAGCAATGTTGTAACCCTGTATAGTAATGTTTTTATCAAATTTTACCTATATGACAAGTATGGCAAACGTAGGTACATATTCAATTTAAATATTATTCATACATTTTGTGAAGCTGATATTATTTATTTCTTATTTAATTATTACTCATTGTGTTAGTTAGTTTTAAATGATTCATTCGCGTAGCTTTACACTGCCAACTACAACTTAGGTATAGGTACGTTCTACTACAATATTAATATTTGTATTACTTTAAAAATTGCGGCCATGTCTGTTATCGTTATAACGTTAACTATTTTGGCATATACATATACTTACAATACGTAATGTAGCGTCGAAATCGATTTGGACCTAATCAATGCCAAATCATATTATTTTTACAACTGTGACGTGTGTAGCTATATACAACGTGTTCGGTACAAGGAAATTCAATGTCTTACGTCAATGGTACTGTTATGATAAATGTATGGGATTTATAGGTACAGCTTCCTTATAACATTAGATACATTGCCTAAGTACCTATCCACACAGAAAAAGAACTAATAAGTTACAGATCAAGACGTAGGCCAGTAAAGCCTGAACTATTTGTGATTTTTACTGGTTAATTATCCAATTAACCAGTATATAATACCAATATATAATTTCTGCAAACAAACTACAAAATTACACTTCTATGTTATTATTTTGAAATTAAAGTCTAAATGAGGCTATCTCGTATCTGCGGCTACTTCTCTTGTCTTGTATATTTATATTTATACTAGCGGACCCGACAGACGTTATCCTGCATATCCACTTGAATGTATAAACAAAAAATAATTCAAATTAGTTCACCCGTTTAGGATAAATAACCTAGACACCGACTGCAGCGCCATCTGCCGGGCTGATTTGTGAATCTAAATCCATCCAGGGCGTCACACAAACGCGTACAGAAAAATTCATTTAAATCGGTCAAACCGTTTAGGAGGAGTTCAATGACATACACACGTACAGCAAAATTATATATATATAAAGATTTACACACTATTTTTAATCTTTCTATTTTTATATTTGATGGGCTGTCGTTTGACCACTACCTCGCCTGGTGGTAAGCGATGACGCGGCCTACGATGGAGCACGTCGACCTATAACCAACCCATCACTCGGGCCTTGAGGGCCTTTGTATAACAATTAAGTGAGACGTAATAAGTTAATATGTTCAATCTTTTCAGGTATGAAAGCAACGAAAACATGACTATAACGTGTAGTACGAAGGTGTGTTCGTTCGGCAAGCAAGTCGTTGAGAAGGTGGAGACGGAGTACGCGCGCTTTGAAGGCGGCCGCTTCGTCTACCGCATACATCGGTCGCCCATGTGCGAGTACATGGTCAACTTCATACACAAACTGAAACATCTACCTGAGAAGTATATGATGAACAGCGTTTTAGAAAACTTCACTATACTGCAGGTTAGTTTTTTATAAACTTTTATCTATATATAATTACATAATATATAATATATATAATTTTATATATAGGGCGTCCCTGAAGTCGACGATCAAATGGCACCAGATAATCGGCAAGGTTTCAACAGTTATCAGAAATATATTAATAAAAACACGACATTATTTTTCAAACTAAAGCAGTTGGCTTAGAATTTATGATTCAATAATATTGAAGCACTTTTCAGGATAACGTAAGCAAAAATACAGACGGAAAAATAAAGAATCGTAGCAACAAGAGCCAAAAGATTGGCACAGGGTGTATTTTTCCGTGGATAAAAGTCAAAAGTATAACTAAATTAGTGCAAATCTAAGTCAAAAATATGGATCCCAGTGTGGTTTGAAACTAATAGAGCTTTTCTCGAAAAGTTCATGTAAAAAAATCGTATACTTTAATTACCGTATCCCAAGTGTCTAACGATGATATTATAGACCTAGTGCAATAGTTAATTTCTACCTATCTTGAAACTACAACACTTTTTCTAGGCCGTAATTAAACCAGTGACTGCATTTAATGGGCATTGTTTACATTGAATCATAGTTATACATACTTACATATATGGTAGCTATGTGTTGCGATATCCGTCACGAGCATGTGGGCCATAGTACGCAACCAGCATAATTAAGTAGTATTCGTCGTTTTATAGCAAAAACTACACATGAAGCGCCAAGAAATTGAGCCACTAACGTAATTCTTTTTGTTCTATCGTATCCTTTATAATCGACTACTTGCCAACTAGTCAAATTCAATACTTTTTTCGAACTGTTTCCTATGAATTTTGTACGAGAATGTGTTTTGTAACGTTACGTTTTTTTTTTAGTCAAACGTCATAATATTTTTTTTAAATTTACGGGAGAAATATTAAAATTAAGTCGGTCATAAAATCAATTAATGTAAGTGTGATAATTTTTTAATATTTTATTGTATTGAACAGTCGAAATAATTTATTTTTGATAAAGGCAAGTAGCCAATTAAAAAAAATATTCACTTTATAAAAAAGTGCTCTCATTTTAAAAGTAATGAAATTGCCTTTTATATGACACGTTACCAATTAATAAAATGCTTGTATTAGAAAATATCTATCAAGAAATGAAAAAAAAACAATCATGGTTCCGTCTCTTTGGTCCCGAATGTAGGCCAAGGAAACATAGTAGTTTTTATTTAATGACTTCATTTATCTGACTGATATATGTATCTTTCTCCATATTGTGAATGGTTTTTTATCAGCGCTAAGAACATTTCCATGTCTGTTACTGGTACATAAATTTAATTGAGTTATCGGTCGTTTAATTATTGAAGAGCGAAAAGAAAGTTCCCATTAGTGATTGTTGTTGTTAATTAGACTTTTAATGTGGAAAGAAAATACTATGAAATATGGTTCTGTGTATTCACTCTGTTACGTTTCAGAATATAGGTAGTGAATAACTATGAAGTATTACTGGGTTTTAAAAAAAAATCTCAGTAGTACCACGGAGTCTGGAATTGTGCCCGGTATATGGCAATAGGCTCACCCCCTATTGCATGGGACTCATAACATAAATAGTGAAAAGTGGGTGGTATATTGTACAGTGGCATAATGTGCACCTCTGCCTACCCCTTCGGGGATAAAAGGCGTGATGTTATGTTATGTTAATAACTATGATTATATCTGACTATAGAAGTCATTTGACCGTATCGTTTAGTGAGATCTGGCTATCAAAGTTGTTTAACAACTAATTCTAAAGTAACATAATGATACATAACATAACATCATGCCTTACTTATATCCCCTGTGCTGTGCTGTGTGCTCCTCTCTGCTGGGTGTATGTAGTACTTAATGCCACTGTACAATGTAACACCCACTTTTCACTATTCATGTTATGACTCCTATGTAATAGGGGGTGAACCTATTGCCACCGGGCACAATCCCAGACTCCGTGCTACTACTGAGATTTTTTTTTAAAACCCAATGATATATTATATAGTAGTATATATTATATCTATTGTAGGTTGTACTGTAGGTATTTTAATTTTGTCTTTTTTATAATACACTTATATCTGGAAGAAATTACCTTTGTGTGATAAGACCGGCCATTGTACGCATATTTACTTGTATCGTTTGTTTTTAAGCTACTTAAATGTATACAATAAAGCATTATAAAAAAAAATAGTTTGTCCGAGACCCCTTGCCCGACAGTCGCACTTGCGACCGACCACTCGGCAAATGAGGCAGTCTCTGTAGTCATTTCAAAGTTACATTTATCTTCCGCAGGTGGTGTCAAACCGAGATACACAAGAGACATTATTATGTGCAGCGTTTGTGTTTGAAGTGTCGAACAGTGAGCACGGCGCGCAGCACCACATCTACAGGCTCGTCAAAGACTGATCGCCCGCCGCCGCGCGCTCCGAGACAACCATTCCTCACGCAAGCCGAATGCAGACTGCGCTGGCCCGCACAGCGCCACGCACCGCCGGCGCATGCGCACTCACAATTAACCCTCAACCATGGAATTGAATCACCTTTCCACTAGAGTTCATAATGTGCGTGCGCCGGTTACAAGTATATATGTACAGTAACTACTAATATAATAGACTATGTACCCGCGACAGCCATCCCGATGGCGCCCCCTCGCGGCCCTCTACGAGTGCTGTCCTAATTTCACTCTGCTCGTACTTTCTCTTTAGATTCAAAAATAAAAATATTTGTTATTAAAACCTATAATAGCAAAATGTGATCTGAAAATTACGCTACAAGTATTTTTGTAACTGAGTGTTTATTATACATAGCTCAATTTTAAATATTGTCTATCGTAGTCCTGATCCCTTGAATCGGCAACTGATCGATTGGTGTCATCAGTACCTCTATGGGCTCCCTGTCTATATCACGTAGGTTCTATCCTCTTGTTTTCATAATACTCTCAATTCTAAAATGTGTCTATAAGGTTCTAAGATAAAGAGAGTAACAATAATATTTTAACTAATTCTTAAAATACAAAATATCGTTCGGTATACTTCGCGTGTAAAAATATCATTATAAAATTTATATAGATTGAATACACACAGTGCCTCTATAATTATGTTACATTAACATAAATTACTTGAGCATATTTAGTCTTTTCACTGCGTTAAAATATTGAAGAGAAAATAAAATAAGATAATGTTAAAGTGAAAAGGTTAAAGTTTAGTGTAGTATACCATGAAAATAATAGATTTAATAAGAATATATATAGAGTTACGACACCTATTCTTTTCAGTTAAATGCTCATGGTACAATTTACCGTTGCTATTTTTAGTTATCTTTCTAAACCAGTCCAACTTACTTCTGTCCTGTAGCATAGAAAGTCTTCAAATAAATTTGGCAACTATTGTTTTCTTTCGAGTATTTTATTATGCTTTAATTATTATTTCATTTTGCCTTGTTACTTTTAGGTCTTTTTGAGACATAGCATTTTATCTAGTTTCTATGTACGTTTTGCCGATTTGACTTACTATTGCAGTCTTTGCCACATTAAATACTAGGTACTTAGGGTATGGTATTGTACCTACATTGTACATATTCTATTGTTATGTACGTAAAGTTGATAGTGTCCATGTGTTCACACGGTCTGCCAGATCTAAGAATGTGTAAATGTATCATATGTAACGACTAGGCCTGTACGATCGTGTATCTACAATATGTACATATCTGACTATCAGGAACATTTTCTCTACAAGGACTCTTCGCGCGTTCCGAGGCAGCTTTACCCTCCAGACCCTTCTCTGTCCAGCGTTTTCCATTTCAACAATATATCACCACACATCCTTCTAATTTTCCAGAAACTAATACAAAGCAATATGGCCGCTTTTGCTTCCAATTTCAAAGTACAAATGAGTGTCCACAGTACTCGACATACTTGCATGAATATGTAACGTGGCAATGATTTGATCTCTCTTTTAGTCAAATATATTTAGGGTCCTCCCGTGCGTGCAATGGTGCGCTCATTTAATTTTACACAGTGTTAAGTTTATGTGCATTAAATAGTATTTAGTTTCAAGACATGAGGTAGGAAAATATTATCTTAGATAATAAAAATAAGAGATTTTTGTATTTATTTGATAGAGTTATATTAGATAAATTGTAAAGTGATTAGTAATAAGGTTCTTTTTTATATGGCGATAGTCGTTCAGGAACTTATCCGTGAAGTTGTCACATATTTAGTACTTAAGAGAAACTTAATTTTTGTTGCAATTGTAGATTCCTCTGTCCAATACTCTGTAATGTATGATTTGTTTGATCAAAATTATCCTTTTTCCACAATTGTCAAAGAACCGTATGACAACTTTGGTGTCTTCTATTTGCAATACGACGGCGTGTTCAATAATTAGTGAAAAAGATCTGCCCTGTTGTGATTTTATATTTTTAATGTTAAATATGTACTCAATGAAATGAGATTAACTCAATGTTATTCGAGTCCAGCGCGATGGCTCCGGACTGGGATATAGTTTACTAAACTTAAACATGGAATTGTTTGATGCCGATGGCAATATTCAATATAGATATCGTTAGGTCGTGTTGTGTATATAAAATAATTTTAGCGCATTTCTTTCAGTTAGTATTTGTAAGCGTTTTTTGCTTCTATACAAGTCTTTCATATCGACAATCAGCCATATCAATATGAAAATATAAAAAGAATTAGTCGGCGAAGTTGGAGACAATCATTTGCAATCGGACGCGAGTACCTTCAACTTTATTTTGTTCTAAGTTTTTACGAATATTTCTTTGCCGGTTTGTTTTCAATCGAAATGGCAAATGATTTTTTACAATACTAGCCGACAGTGTACAGTATTTTAAAGATAATACTACGTTAAAGATTTGTATGAAAATTTAATTATATTGTCTTCATAAAATCACGTGTATTATTATTCCTTTACCTTACTTTATCGTGCTGACGCCTTGATAACTATTTGTAATCATTATCTTGAAGAAAATCCGGATTACACTATCACATAAATATTTTAATTAATTCTCTCCTGTAGAAGTCAGTCGACATGTTGCACTAATTATTAAAAGCAATAGATAAATACGATAGTGTTAGTTTCAGGGTTCTATAGTGATAAAACTAATAATTAGTTTTTATACGGGAAAGAACAAGATTGCTTTAAAAGTATGGCAATTTTCATATGCTAAGTAATATCAAAAATATTAAATGGTTTGTTATAAATATCGACGATTATCCCATCGTGTGTCTAAACCTGAGTTTTTTGTTTAAATAATGGGCCAACGTTTGACTAATATCTCGCCTGATGGTAAGCTATGATGCGGTCTTCGATGGAGCACGTCGACCCGTAAGCAAGCTATGCACTCGAGCCTTAGATACCCAGGTTATAAACTTCAGAAAACACAAACTCTGGCAAAGAATTTCACTCCTTAGCAGTAAAGAAGCTTGATGTGAAGCGCTTCGTGCGTGTGGGTGGGACATTTACCATATGAATCGGTACCGCTTCGCCGATTGTCTTGTGGTACGATGATGGAAAGGACTAGGGGGAATCAAGTCGTGCAAAGATTCATGCAAGACAATATATTTTTTGATGTGTCTTTTAAACGGGCATTCAAGCGGTTATTGGTTACGATTAGGTAGGTAGTTTTTCAACCTATCGCTTAGTTTATACTCCGAAAATATCACTAGAGTTCAAAATCCCAGATCACCAATGAATCGATGATGAAACTAAAACTGTCAATATCTATATTAAAATTTAAGATACCTATTTAGGTATTTTCTAATCGACATTCATTTGATAATATCCATAATAATTCGGTGATAAGATATCAAAACCCTTGCGAGGTTTAATCAACAAATATCTATTGAAATTCAGTTGTTCGTGTGGTGTGTGAAGGTAAGTGTATTTTGTTTTACTAAGATAAATAAATAAGAAACTAGTGTTGTGATACGAACTATGAACTGACATAGATACTCTTAGAACCCAATAGTCGTAAGCCAGCGACAGATTTTCGCGACAAACTTCCTCTGAGTCGATATTTCGTTAAAAAGTTATCGATAGTGACGAAAACTGTCAACATTTAGTGCCTGGTTTACAAGCACCAAGTTTTTTCTATCGATACTAATCATATCTTAGTGTAGGTAATTTGATGTGATGTTGATGATGATGTTTAGTTGCAAACTGAAATTAGAATTCGTACCCCAGTCCCCTCCCTAGTAACTTCTCTGATGGTTATGGGTGTCCATAGTCAGTGCTTAAGGTCGATGCTTACTTAATAATAAGTGGTTACCTAATGGTGATCTATTTGGTCGTTTGCTTCTTAACAATAAAATAAAAAATCCGATTCGTTTAGCTATCTCCACTTACCTAGCTAATATTTTAATATTGGTACGAATTAGTGTTATCCTTTATGTTAATCCTATGAAAGTATTTTTGTGATAATCAATCAAAATGAGTTATATTAATACTTATACATATTAATATATATTTGTGGAATGGCATTCCTAGGTCCTTTATTTCTTATATCTAACTGAGTGATACCTAAAATTAGAAAAAAGGTACCGGTCGTAATGATCTGAATGCCCTTCAATGACCATGTACTAAATACAATTTATTACATTAATTTGTTTATCAATATACATGATATATCTCTTAATACAGCTTATCATAGCTTAGGCTTCTAATTAGTCGGATTTAAGAACTACGTAAACATAACATTGCGTTTGTTATTCCCGAAACGGGTAGGCAATGCAGTTCCTTTGTACCTACACCTACCTAGTACTGAGGTGAGGGGAGCTAGTGTAAAATAAAACAATACGTCTGTCTCGTTTCACGGTGCTCTTTAATCTGACCCACTAACTACTAACTACAATAAGGTATACCCCACTTCAGTACCTACTAGTTAGATACCCGTGTCATTTATTGTAGAGGTATATACATAATCTTAATCTATGTACCTACTGCATCCGAATCGGTAGGTACTATGAGATATATTAAAAATTAAACGAGTGGTACTATTTTGATCTGGAGACGGAATCTAAAACCTCCGGTCTATAGTTGCACAGCATTTTGCGGGAATCAATTACGTCCATAAGGATAAAAGTGAAAGGATGACCTGAGTACTTAATTAGAAACAAAATTTAGTAATTACATAGCTATATCAATGAACCAACCAAATTAATTAAAATGTTTATCAATAAAGTCTATAAAATGCCTAAAATATCCATTATCGAATAAATTTTCTTATTATTGATAAGTACTTAGATTATTTAATTTATCCTTGTATGCAAAGCCAAAAAATCTCTTTAAAAATGTATCTCGATTTCGGCCCGCATATATACCGATACTCGGTGTGTTTGATACCTGCAACCTGTCAGGTCATATAAGTTCTCGTTCGGTACTATAGGGATCAAAATAATAATTACTGATATGAGACACGAAACCGTAAGCAGTCCATTCAGGCACTAAAAGGACCTAAAAGTAGGTAACTGTTAGTATTCTCTTGGAGTTTTAAGTCGGTGTTGTACCTAAGTAATAAGTGATGTATCTAGATTTGTAACTAACTAACAAGTTGACTTTTAAATCATAAAGCTTAACGATTGACTTTTTAGATGGCGATCTCCGTAAATATGCGATGGATCGCCGCAACGGTAGTTTTATGTTCGTTGCTAGCTGTTGGACAATTTGGTGAGTAAACTTGATTGACATTGTAAAATGTAATATATCTCCAATTTAAAGGGGTAAGTAGAGCTGTCAAATAAAATGTCGCACGCATTATTCGTCAGTTAGGTAATGTATGTTCAACGTCCACATAAG